CATGGWTTGACASGACAARGGGAGGATGGCTTTAAACTAAAAGAGGGGAAATATAGATCAGATTTTAGGGAGARATTCTTCYCTGTGAGGGTGGTGAGGAGCTGGCACRGGCTGTCCAGRGAAGCTGTGGCTGCCCCATCCCTGGAAGTGTYCAAAGGCTGGACGGGGCTTGGAGCAACCTGGGAYAGTGGAATGTGTCCATGCCCAGGGAGGGAGTGGAACGGGAAAAGCTTTAACGTCCGTTCCAACCCAAACGATGCCGTGATTCCTTGATTGAGGCTCCTGGCAGGAGGGCAGGAATGCTTGGCGGGGGCTGAGCCTCTCCCGCGAGAGCGGAGAGAACGCCCCGTCCCTCCGTGCCCACCTGTGTCACTCATCCTGCCGTGCCGCTGTGTGCCGCCGTGTTCCCTATCTCGTCACATTCCCCCCGTGTCCCCCCATGTCCCCCGTGTCCCCTGTGTCCCCTGTCCCCCCGCGTCCACGCGCGGCGCGGCTGCACCGCCGGTCTCACACTGACCCCCAGCGTCTGGCGGCGGCTGAGACCGAGCCGCTGCCCCGGCCGGGGAGTTCGATGGGAATTAAACCCTAATTAAAGCCTAATTACAGCTTGTAGCAAAGCGACGTGACAAAGCGGGAAGCGGAGGGGCGGGAGCGCCTGTTCCCAAGGCTGAAGTTACTGCAGCCGTTATATTGAGCCCGGAAAAGGTTTCTGTAGCTGATGCTTTTTAACAGCGAGGCCAAGTTGCCAGTAAATCATTAAATACATGTAATCAGTCTCCTGGAGTAAAGGTAAGGATTTGGTCTCAGTGAGACGCTTTGTGCCGGGAGAGATTTGCTTGTGGTTTCTGAAACACTTCAAAAATCAATATGCCGGGAGCAATGAGGGGCTCAGGGAGGGCAGGAGATCTGGGGCAGGTGGAGTGCCTGGAATTCACTGGGCAGTGTTTGGAGGTGCCTTGGGAAAGATTAGCCAGGTAAACACTAGAGATTCTTACAAGAAGCGGGTACAGCATCAATAGCAGAGGGACAAAGCCATCAGCAGCAGGGCTCCAGGCAAGGGTTTGGGAAAGGGTCCTGGCAGGGCACCAGGGTCTCAGCTGTACCCATCACAAGAAGCACAATGCCAAACAACCCCTCAGATAGGTACCACAGCTCCCCAGCCTGGGCTGAAATCTCTGCACTCGCTGTTCTCAGATGTCCCTTATGGTTTGTCATTAACGAATGTCACAGGTTTCCTCTTTGTTGCTCTTTCTCACAAAGCCCACGTACAGCTCTGTTGTGTTAATTAATTTCTTCAGATACTGCTTTTCCACATTTGGTCGTTGATAAGACACTTGCAAGAAATCCAAAATAAGACTCAAAGAGATTTCTCACATGGCAAGCATAAAGTTTCATTATGTACCGTAAATTCGCTGTGATTTCTGTGTCAGGGCTCTCCAGCTCCTGACGTGAGTACCCCTCTGTGATGAAAATGAGGGGTTTATTCCATGTCAGTGGTGCAAAGTTCCTCAGGGCAGAGGTGCTCAGGGCAGCTGCATCAGAGGGCTGCAGAACCTTGAGAATACTCAGTTCTAGATGGGGTACYGACTCCCAGAAAATCTCCCAGGAGACGGTGCCCCAAACTGGCAGTTCATAGAATCATGGAGTCCACAGAATGGTTTGGCTTAGAAGGGACCTTAAAGATCATCCAGTTCCAAMCCCTTGCCATGGACAGGGACACCTTTCATAGACCAGGTTACTCAGAGTCCCATCCAGYCKCAATGCTCACCAACATCACCTGAGCTRGCACAACACCTCCTTGAGATAGAAGGGAACAGCAGCTAAACATTTCTTCCTTAAATCTTGAGCACAAGACCAACTCTTCCTGCTGAGAAGGCAGAGCAGGCAGCTGGAGGGGTGCAGCATGAAGCGAGGCTCCTGGTCCTGGTTTTTGGGAAGTGGATCCTCTTCCTGCTTTCTCTCCAGAAGAATTCAGCCACTTGAACCCACCCCACCTTTCCCGTGGCGGGAAAAGGCCAGCCATTGCTCCTGCCGGATGGCTGTTCAGTTTGACAGACATCACATTCAACAGTTAACAGCCAGCGTGTTTACAGGCAACATTTTTTTTGGCTGCTGTCCCTGGCATGTCACTCATGTTTAGCCAAATGAACTGGGAGGATTATAACAGACAGGGACACTGGTGCAAGTGACAGGCGCAGAGACAAGTGCTGCAAGAAGCTCATTTACACATGGAGTTTCACAGCCCGGCTCTCTCTTCCTGCTCCATAAGCTCATCAGCTGCTGCTGCTGCAGAGCTGCCAGTTTTCACAGGAATGACGGAGCTCACAAAACCCTCTTTTTATTTTTTCTCCCCTGCCTGCTTAGACAACAGATTCTAATATAASCCATTTTTTGATATTGAGAATAAGACCCTTTAATGTGGAAATGTGAGTTTAATGTAAATAGCTCGTGCTGCTCTGATTCCCTCTAAGGGCTGTTGGCTGTTGGCAGTCCCCCTGCCGCCTTTCAAGTCACTTGGGAGTCACTGCTGATGAGATGGGGATGGATCTCGAAGGGATATGCAGTCTCTCATGGGTGCTTCCTGTGCTATGTGACAGTTTTTATCTCGGCCATATTTCAGAAAATTCAGCAACATCTGCAGCTGTGAAACTGTCTCCACCTGCCCCCAAAATAATGTGGTTAGAGGGGAGAATGGGTGAGCGTGACATGAGAGCTCTGGAGGGAGCTCAGTTCCATCGAAGCTGCTGTGTCCCTGCAAGTGTCCAAGGCCACTCTACAGAGCCCCAAGGTACCTGTAGCTGTTTATCTCACCCCACACCAGGTCACCAAAGGTCCTCAGGGCTTTGCCATCCCATCCTCAGTGCTCAGTCACGTCAGCTTTCCAAAGCAGCATAAACAAGGAGGAGCATACAGTGTTGTGAAAAGTATCTATTAGAATTGTCAACATTAAATTTTCCTTACTATTTTCAGTGTGTTGTGGAAATTAAAACAAGAGCCACGTTTTCCAGCTGCAGAAATGCTGCTTTCCAGCCAGTTTTAGTCTGCGGCTGTTTACAAGACAGTGTAAGTTTTCATTGCCTAATAAAAACAATCATCTGTATTCCATGGCTGCAAGCAACAACACTGTGAGAGAGTGGAGCAAGTCGAGRAGGTTTTGGAGAGGAATATGAATTATCTCACCCAGAGAACAAAGCACAGACGGACCCTGAGCACCGAGGGAAATTGCCCAGCAACGTGCAGGTGAGTCTCCAAACCTGCACAGTTTAACTGGGGGATTTTATACCTTTGAGAAAAAATGTATTTCTTGAATAGGCACAGTCCCCATAGGTGCAGTCTTGCCACTTATTTCTGCGATTTAAATTGTTGCTTCTGTTTTTTAAGGCCAGGATGAACAGACAAGCATTTAATCAGCCGAGTTGGATGGAGGAGCACAGGTACCACTGAGACTCGCGGGACAGCTCTGCAATGAGCAAGAACATTAAAGGCTGCYATAAAGAAACAAGCTCCTGTGCCCTCAGATGGACAGAATTATAAAAATCCCCACAGTGTCCCCAAAGCACTGAATTAACCGGAGAAGGAGCTGTGTTTAATGTGATGGATGGAGCCCGCGGGCCCCATCGCAGGGATGCGGCCATCAGGGCACGGCTACCTGCCATCACTCCCTGCAGCACCTCCCTGGGAACATCAGACAGGATAATTACATACTTAAATCTGGGTGCTTTACTACACAGAAATTCATCTGCTACCCTCAGAGTCCTTGAAGTTAAAGAGGGATTTGAGTTACTGACATAATTTGTTCCCTGAGGGCTGTGGAAAGAAGAGGAAGGCACATCTGAATAATAACTCTCCGACCACGTCTTGAATGGAAGCGAGCGTTGCTCCACAATGAGACACAATGGGAAGCAAAAGATTTCAAATGTTTATAAGCTACAGAGTTCCCAGGCAGGATGGKGCTGAGTTTTTCCCTGGGCAGCAGCCCTGAGGGAAATCAGTAAGATCCCTTCAGATGCTAAAATTGCAACCTTTCCATACCTGAAGGGAACTTACACGAAAGATGGGGTAAGACTATTTACGTGAGCATGTAGTGACAGGACAAGGGTGAATGGGTCCAAACTGATACAGTAAGTTTAGACTGCACATTGGGAAAAAAAAATAGTTCCCTGTGAGGGTGGTGAGGCCCTGGCACAGGGTACCCAAAGAAGCTGTGGCTGTCCCAGCCCTGGAAGAGTCCAAGGCCAGATTGGACATTGGGGCTTGGAGCAACCCGGTCTATGGAACGCGTCCCTGCCCATGGTAGGGGGTAGCAGTGGATGCTCTTCAAGGTCTCTTCCAAACCACCCCATCCCGTAATTCTGTGACGAGTGGCTTTGTGCTCACTTTGCTAAAGCTTCTGTTCAGATGACGCTGCCTTTGATCCAAGCCAGGGGCTTGTGTGTGTGAGGGCCGTGGGCTCCCCGCCCTCACGGGGCGGGACGAGGTTTCCCTCAGCCTGGAACCCTCAGTCTGGTACCCGGAACCCTCAGCTGTTGCCCAGAGCCCTCAGCAGTTAGCCCAGAGCCTGGAGCCCTCAGTCTGGTGCCCAGATCTCTCAGTCCGGTGCCCAGAGCTCTCAGCCGTTAGCCCAGAGCCCTCAATTCGGTACCCGGAGCCCTCAGCCGTTAGCCCAGAGCTTGGAGCCCTCAGTCCGATGCCCCGAGCCCTCAGCCTTCAGCCCAGCGCCTGAAGCCCTGAGCCCTTAGCCCACAGCCCCCATTCCAGTGCCCGGAGCCCTCATTCCAGTGCCCGGAGCCCTCATTCCAGTGCCCGGAGCCTGAAGCCCTTCGCCCAGAGCCTGGAGCCCTTAGCCCGGAGCCTGGAGCCCTTAGCCCAGAGCCTGGAGCCCTCAGTCCGATGCCTGGAACCCTCAGCCCTTAGCCCAAAGCCCGGAGCCCTCAGCCCGCTGCCCGCTCCCGGCGCTCGCCCCGGGGCTCCTGAGSCGAGAGGCTCCACAAGATGGCGAGCGCGGGTCCTGACGCGGCCCAAGATGGCGGCGGGCGGCGCTGCGCGGGGTCGGAGGCGCTCGGACACCCGCGGCCCCGCTCGCCCGGCCCGGCCACAGCACCGGCACCGGCACGGACACCGGGCCCACCGCTCCACGAAGGCAGCCCCGACAGCAGACCCCGCGGGGGAAACAGCCAACACGGCGAGCCCGGTATGAGGGACGGGGCCGGGTGGGCTGAGGTGGGGGTGGAGGGGGCAAGGCCGCGGGGCCGAGCGGTTACAGCGTAGGGGGATCGCAGATAATTATTAACAGCTACAGCCTGAGCATCACGAATTATGAGGAGAATTTAAGTACATTTATCACCGTTCCYCCTCCTCCCACCACGTTGTTTGTACCGGTGCAAAAATGCAGAGCCAACTGCAGGGTAATGACAGTCAGGCCTGGCACAGTAATTCCGATTAGCATCATCCTTAAGAAAATAAGAACATGGTGATTGATCTTATACAGTGCTAGTTTATTCTCTGAGAAGTGTTTTCCTCTTGCTGGTGATGGGCTGTACACTGTGGTTTATGTAAGTTGTCCGTTCCTCTTTTCCTCTCTTCACATGCACTTTCTACTAATTACTTTTCGTAGAAGGTTTGGATCAAGATGCCACTCGTGTGGTGGAGCCCTTCTGTTTCACACCTGGCTTTGCAAATAGAGAGATATGGTGATTTTATTCTTCTTTATTTCAAGTAAGCTTTAGCACCTTGTRTTTTTTTCTAGCAGTGTTCGTCACCTGAAGCTGCTGAAGAACAACCTGCAAAGAAGATGAAATGTGAAAAAAGCAGTATAAAATCAGAGCTGGAAGGAGTCACATGTGAAAGTAGAAACCTTGCTGCACTGGGGGAGACACCTAAAACATCTGAAGGGGATGGAGGTTCAGAAGATCCAGGAGACAGCAGGGTAATCCAACAGAAAAAAGATGAAAGCATTCCAGAGACTGATGAARGGAAACAGGAAAAGGAGCATGGCGTTTCTCTGGAGCCACACACAGTGAAATCCATCGGAACCCCGTTAAAACTGGGTGGATATCTGCACCTCCATCACGTGTTCAGCGAAGAGGAGAGCAGCTGTGGGAGCTTTGACGGGGCTGCCTCGGAGAACGCCGATCGCCCACGGAGGCCGATGTTTCTGGAGTACAGCAGCGGCCTGTCGGATGAGGACAGCAACCAGCCCATGCCAGTGCACCGGTTCTTTGGAGATGTTGAGGTAGTGAGATGATGAGTCTCTTCCTTCTTTAGACTCARCCCTGGTCTGCTTAAAATTTGCCTCAAAACTCTTGGTGAATTTGACCTGTATTTTTGGGCCCTATACTGCAGATAGAATTGTCTCCATCAGAGATGAAATTACTTTCCCAGCCAGAATAATTTCAGATGTAATATCTTTCTTACTTAGATTTTTAAGTCCAATGTGAGATAGGTATTTTTACCGACATTATGACATTATGGAGGCATAGTATTGTTGGCAAAATAGGTTTTTTTGGTGGTCTTTGGTTCTTAACAGGATCACAGAATAGCTTGAGTTGGAAGGAACCTTAAAGATCAGTTCCAGCCCTGCTGCATTGGAATTGTTTGGAAAGGAAAATGGTTTCTGTGTACCTCAGCTTTTGAACTGATCCAAGGGCCAGAGCTTTAAATTTGAATCCCTTTAACCTGCATAATTTGGGGCAAGTGATGCCACTGTCTTTTAGGTGTTTCCTGTGGTATTTAGGGAACACTGAGGATTTGTTTAGGGAGCCCTTCACYCTCTCCAAATCCTCCTCACACCTGTGGGAGGAATGCCAGCCCTGAGACTGCCCATGGACCTGGTTTGGGCAGACTTCCCTGAAAGCCCCCAGCTTTAACTTTGAGTTTGTACCACTGCTCCCATGTCACCTGAGGGAGGATGGGATCTGTGGAGGCAGTTCTGTCATTTGCCACCACTGACTTTCCTTACTGATCTTTTCCCTTCAGGATATCCCGGCAGTTGTGCTCCCAAGCATGACGAGGAGCAGGCGAGAAGCCAGAAAGCTCCACTTCATTGCAAAAGAAGATGAGGAGGAGGAAGAGGAGGAGGAGGAAGAGGATGTTGTCTAACAACAAACTGTAAACAAATGAAACCCTTTTTTCTTTGTGACCACGTGGTGATGGCTCTGTCAGTAACATAAGGTGTCTGTTTGCCTTTTCTCAGGGAGAGAACTGGGAGAGTTTGTTTTGGTGGAATTGGCAGATACAGTATTCTGATTCTGATGCAGATTCAGGTTATCTGGGGCAAGTCAGTGATTTGGAAATAAATTATAATTTAGCACTTTACCACCAATATTTAGGAAAAAAAACCCAGGGAAAACAGAAATTCTTACTGTTTTTTTTGTAAATTTTTCAGTTTGACTCCTTTTTTTTTTTCAAAACAGTCAAGAAGAGGATGCTGGAACAAGGTTCTTTTTCTTTTAATTCTGTCATGTCTGTGGCATCAGGGTAATATAGGACCAAACTGACTCCCTGGTACAAAGAAGGTCAAGGGTCTCATTTGTGGGTTGTTTACACCTAACCCAGGACCAGTTAAACCTCTAAAATACAGTTCTGCTGGCAAAATGAAATGCAGGATGTCAGAGTGGGTTCAGTGTGCTCTTCTCTGACAGTTCAGCACGTTTTTATTGCACGTCAGCTCCTCAAACACCCACCCCGTGGTGCTGCCTACTCCTTCCTTCTGCTGTTCTAAGTGTCATCCTTCGTGGATTTTCAACTGATTTCCAACAGGGATTTAGCAAACAAATGCTTTGGTGGTGATAAACAAGGAATACCATCCCTTGGATTTGATGGACAGAGGAAGATTGCTAAGGCTGTGGGGCAGCCCACTATGCATGTTTAAAAAATAAGGAGCAACCTCAGCCAATTCCAGGAACTGTTAGTTCACTCAATGTTTGTGGGAATATTTCTTTGAAAGTGTGATTATGCAATAAGCTTCCAAATATTTATTGTTATAGCTCCTTCAGTGTTTCTAAAAATAGAGAGAATATGTTATCAGCAGATGGTTTAAATAAATATTAAATTTCTACAGCTAGAGCCTGTTAAACATTCAAAAGTTGTAAGGCAAACAAATTGCATATGCATGGCATGGTAATGCATTCCCATTTCCACTYCAGCTGATGCATTGTTTCTGTCAAAGATATTTCTTGGCTCCTTTTCACTCCAATTCTGTAACACGGAAAAATCCAGATTTTTTAATCGCATATTCATGCTTCCAGCCCAGCTCTGTGTTGCAGCAGCTCCTCCCAGCATTCCTTCAGTGCTGTGTTTGCTGCTGGCTGTTTCCAGCAAACAGAGYTTCACACACAGACATTCATTTCACTGTGCAAAATGCATTTTCAGTTTTGGGGGGGGGGAGGTCACATGCCACACAGGTGACACTGGGTTTGTCACCAGAATCCTGCCAGTGCTGCCCTCCCCAGTGTCAAACAGTGCAGGAGGGGAAGCTGGAAAAATCGATTCCATGCAGTGGAATTAGAAATCCTGTGTTTAAAATGGACCTCCTTACTTTTCAGATTGCAATGTTGGGGATGGGAATGAATGTGTTGCTTAAAGTAAATCAATACACTCTCTAGCAAAGACCTACTGAGTTGGGTCACAGGCAGAAATACCATCTCCACACAATTCCATGTGGACTAACTGATCCAGGACCAACAATATGGGGGAAAACAGAGCTTTTACCAGTTATTTTCCCAGAGCAGTAAGTAGCTGGTGCTCCATTCATAAACACATTTCTTTGCAGGCTCTATCACACATGATTAATATCTTGTGCACTTCCACATACTTACACACACACACAGATGAGGGGCATTGTTTTATTTAAAAAGTTCACACAATTTACACTGACAATCCCAAAAGTTTGGTTGCTTCAGCTGGTATTAAAAAAAATTCAAGTAAAAATTGAACTATTCATGATTTGTTGCCTGAGGTAGGAAATGTTTTACCAAAGCARTATTCTCCATGGCAGTGGGTAAACATTTCTGTAAACATGAACATGATCATTGTAGCTGTCCTTGCTGGTGGTGCTTTGAGCAAACTCAAGCTGAAGAGGCAGAAATTGTTAGAAAGGAGAGGGAAATTAGCAGGGAAGATGGCAAAGGTGGGAAAAATCAAAAATATAGGGATATGACATGGCCTTGCTCTTCTTTCTGGGAGACGCACACCTGAAGCAACAGTCAAGGAGCAGCTGGGGATGAGGACAGGAGTTTGGCACAGGTGAGGTGGCAACTCTGCTGCTGAATCACCTTTGGCATTCCTGAAATACACTGGTTGCTACCTGCAAAAGGCACAGAGTAAAACATGATCCTAAATCCTTTGTTTGGCATAATCTCCAGAGGAACAGGAATCTACAAGTCTCCACAGATTAGCGTGAATGTTTTGTCCAAGTTTCATTTCCATTTACTGTAAGTTTTGGGCCAACACTGGCCAGAGATGACAGGATAGAATCAGTGTCAGGCTCTGGCTCATTCTTTATATTTATCACACTTGATTTGAGCTGAGGGAAGCTTATAAGGAGTGGGAAGGCAGGAGAAGAAAATTAAATGGGATATTGGAGTGTGCTTTGTGAGACTCTGTTTGGGTTACCCAGCCATTCTCATGCCAGGGACTCTCAAATAGTTCTCATTTAAGCAATTGGAGCTATTTAAAAACAACAGACTGACATGATTGAAAAAAGCAGCAGATCCCTTCCAGAGACAGCACTAGGAAATCTCATGGGTTTGCTTCCTCTTTCTGTAAATTCGGGTTTTGTCACAGCTGAGGTTATGATTGGTTTTCTTATGGCAAGCAATATGTACGAGTTTTAAATTATCCAGGGTAAACAGCAGCTGATAGAAGTATTCCCAGTTCACTTCTCTCCCGTCTCGTGTTTTGACAGCTTCTGCCAGTTCTGGGACAACAGCACGTTTCTTCTCAATTCTTKGGGACACAAAAGAGAAGACAATATTGCCATCAAGAGTTTTTTCAGAATAATCAAGCCTCCATCTTCCTTTCAGAGGCAGGCAGAACTGGAATTCTTTCTCCATAACTAGGTGTATGATGCTTTTCCCCAAGGAAATTAGTTCAGCAAATCCTGTTTGCTTCACACCTACATTTGAAATGGGTCAGAGGGGGTTTTGCCAGAGAGAATTCACATGGATAGCGCAGCGAGGAGAGCTTTGCTTCCATGCAAAATAAATCTGCACAGAAGCAAGGCAGCTAACAAGAGGCAGTATTTCATCTGTCTTCAGGGTTTCTCAGAACAGCTGCAGCATCCCAGCACCTTTTCTCACAACATATTCACAGCAGAGCTGACTGCATAGCRGGAGTAAGGACTGAGGCTAAACCTTTCTGATGAAGCTGAAGGGCATGAAGCAGCTAAGTCTGGATTAACACTTGGTACATACATGTGGTCGAGATTCCAGGTGCTGAAGAGGATCCTGCTTTCCCTGTTGCTGTAGGGGTTGATGGAATGCTTACACGAGCAATCATCTCTGTCGAAAGGTCCCTGTGAAAGGTGTCACATTTGTCAGCCTGGTGTGTTCCTGCCATGTGCTAATGAACCAGAGAGATCCTGCATCCCACATCCCCCAGCCTGACGCTGCCCCATGCTGCACCCATGGAGCTGTTCTCTTCCTCTGATGTTGAAGGGGGAATGGCTTCAAACTGATACAGGGAAAGTTCAATTTAGGTATATGGAAGAAATTCTTCCCTRTGAGGGTGGTGAGGCCCTGGCACAGGGTGCCCAGAAAAGGTGTGGCTGTGCCATCCCTGGAAGTGTCCAAGGTCAGGTTGGATGGTGCTTGGAACAACCTGATCTAGTGGAAAGTGTCCCTGCCCATGGCAGGGGGGTGGAGTGAAATGCTCTTTAAGGTCCCTTCCAACCCAAACCATTCCATAATTCTTCAGGAAGGCTGCAGGTACCTGACAGGAGAACCACCCCTCCGCRGTGCACAGACGCGCTGCCTCATCCTTCTCCCTTCTGTCAAAGTAGCACCCGTTGTACTTCACAGATTTCAGTTTATCTGCCATCAGGTCGATTATCCCTCTGTAGGCATCTCGTGCTGCAGGATGAACGTTTGGAATAAACCCACTAACCTAGAGRGGGGAAACCCAGCAATCACTCTTCAGCTCCTGGGGCAGCCTGAGGCTCTTTTCTACAGTCACAATGTTGCACTGTAAAAGTACTTTATATTCCTGTGGCCTCCCATTACAGCTTGACAGAAGTTACTTCAACAGAAACTTTTACCTCTCTCATGTAGCCCCGCATTCTGCTCTCACAGCTGTGTCGCAGGTAGCTGGATTTGTTCTTGAACCTAGACTCCAGCCCTGGAGGGAACRAGATCATTTTGTACCTCAGCACAGCTCCTGCCCAGCTGGGAGTTCATCCTGGCTTTTCTAACTCAGGCTGCACATGTTTTTTAATTTCCCATTTTTATTTTACTGGTTCTGGACTGCCCTGCTCTTAAGCACTTAAAAGGAACTTGTAGAGCATCTGCTGGGAGAGCAGTAACTGGTGTTGTTCTATGTTTCTTGTTAATGTGTGTACGTGAAACACCAAGAGATTGTGAAAGGAAAACAGAATTGTTGGGGAAGAACTGCAGCAATGGCTTGGGAATGGGAAGGGAGACTAGCAAAGTATAAAGAGAACATAAAGCAAATTTAGCTGCTGAAATGTGGACATTATCAATACACTATTAGCAAATCACTGAAATGTCATAAATGCAGACTTATATTAATGGGGTAAAATGTATTCCAGAACTATCTTGGATAAAGTAATAGGGAATGTTGTTTTTTCAAACATTTTCTGATAGCAAATATGTGTATATCTTAAAAAACCCTGAAAACACCTGCTAATGAAAGGGATAACTAATCCCCTGACCAGGTACCCAATTCCCYTAGCCAGAAGGGTCCCAAACTTTTAAACAATTCTTTCTTAAGTGCAGTAAAACTGACAGCAGTTACTTTCCAGAGCAGAGCAAGACCAGGCAGTCCCTTAGCAGCTTCCTACCGCAACCAACACACCTTCAAACCACTTCTTGTCATCTTCCTTGTCCTCGGCCAAGATATTTTCGCTCAGATTGTGGATGAGATCCGCCAGCAGCTTCTGCCTGTGTGGAGCCCGCTCGTCTGTCAGCAGCCTCCGCGCAGCCTCCACCACAGCGTCCTGCTGGCTGCAGAACGCGACCAGGAGCCGCTCGATGTCGCTGGCACCTGGGGCAGGTGAGACAGCACCGGCTGAGCCCCCAGCACCGGCTGAGCCCCCGCATCCCCCGCCCGGCCCCGCACTCACAGCCCCGCCAGCTCTCCCCGGGGCCCAGCAGMACCAGCTCCGTCTGCGGCGGCAGCGCTCGGAAATAGCTCTCGGTCAGCTCCGTCCCGTCCTCGTAGAGGCAGAGGCGGCTGCCTGGCAAGGGAAGCTACCCCGCGGGCGGGTGAGCGGCGGGCGGGACCCGGCTCCGGGAAGCACCCGGTGGCTCCGGTCCCGCACGGCCTCACATCGGCAGACCCGCCTCGCACGGTACCATCCCGTCCCTGTAGCACCGGGCAAACCCCCGCCCGTCCCAGACCTCCCTCCCCGCTCCGCACGGTACCATCCCGTCCCTGTAGCACCGGGCAGCCCTCACCCGTCCCAGACCTCCTCCCTCCCCGCTCCGCACGGTACCATCCCGTCCCTGTAGCACCGGGCAGCTTCCCGCCCGTCCCAGACCTCCTCCCTCCCTCCCCGCTCCGCCTCGCACCTGCAGCAGCCGGCAGCCCTTCCTCAGCAACCCGCGCAGGCTCCCGGCCGCTACCCCGAACTTTTGCGGGCCGCCACACCCGCGCAGGCGGAAGGGCCGCAGCGGCTCTGCCATCCCGGGCCGGTGCCGGTGCCGGTGCCGGTGCCGGTGCCGCTGAGGGCCGGGGCCGCCCCGCGCAGGCGCTCCAGGACCGGCGGGGCGGGCGCGCCTGCGCGGCGGGGCCGCGTTGCCATGAGAGCGGCGATGGGGCCGCGCTGAGCCAGGTGGGGCCCGGCCCGGAGCTTTCCCCCCGCGCTCCGCTCTCCCTCCGCCCCGGGGACCCCCCGAGGTCCCGCCAGGCCCCCGCCTGCTTTGTCCGCTGCCCGTGCTGGCTGTCCCCCCCGGAGCGGTGCGGCCGTKACCCCTCCGGGCCTGCGGGAGGAGGGAGGGATGGGGCCGGTGTCGGTGTCGGTGTCGGTGCCTTAACACCGGCACGGCCTGGGGTGGGCAGCGCCGGTCCCCCTGCTTGTCTGGTGTCCCCAGCAGTAGCTGCGGCGTGTGCGTGGTTTTTTTCCAAATGACTTTGTGCTTTGCTTTTCGTTCTTCTGGCTCCATGGCACACAGAGCATGGTACAGGGATGGGTTTGGCACAGGTTGCTCCTGTGTGTGCTTGGAGCTCTTAGTTTCAAGCTCCATCTTGGATTAGCAGGTTTAATTTGTTGGCAGACTGCTCTGCTTGTGAGCTAAATCTTTGTTCTGCTCAGCACTAATCAAACCTGCACCCTAAGAAMATTTGTGGTGCCGACTTCACTGGCAAGGAAATACGTATTTGTACTCATCATCTACTGACTCGACAGGACCAAAGGACGCTATTCTTTGACAGTAGCATCTCAGTGGTTTTGTATCATCCTTCCAGTGATGAATTTAAGCTTGAAGGCCGTGTCTGTGACCAGCTCAACTCCCCAGGATGCCACACAAGATCGGTTTCACCGTGGTCAGTTCATCGGGACACGAGGATGGGTTCAGCGCTCGGGAGCTGATGGTTCACGCACCGACAGTGAACGGGTGGMGGTCACCCAGGTACTGTGAGGGGATGGTCTTGGAGCACTGAGTTCTGAAGCACCAATTTTAAAATGAGTGGGACGTGTACCATGCATGGTCAGTAGTTTACAACATCCCAGGCCAAACTTAGAAAGTTAAAATTTACTCTAATCCCATGGAATCCTCACTGTAGGGAAAAAAGCACCTTGGTTAACACCTAAAGGCATCACATTGCATCTAAATAATGTCCTGGAAAATGAAAATGAGAACTATTTTTGTTCTTGGCAATCTTGAAGTTAGCAATTGCTTTGGTTTAGTATGAAAAATCTATTTGTCTCAGCACATCCTCTAAATGTGTGGGGCACTTGAGCGTAACACACGCACACAGGAAAGGGAAGGGAAAAGTGTTTCTGCTTTACCCTTGGGTTCTTCTTACAATATTTATAATGTTGGCTTAAAATGAGTATCTTCAAAGGTCCTTAATTAAACGTTGCTCAAGTTGGAAATGAAGTCCTCTTTAAAAAGATGATTAAATTCAGAAACTGTCTCTTTCAGGCTCTGTCAGTACCCCCAGGAAATCATCCTGCAGTTGGTAGAGAGGTGTCGGATCCGCAAGCTGCAGCTGCTTGCTCACCAGTACATGATTGCAAGCAAAATTGAGTTCTACATCAGTGATAGTCTGCCTGAATACTTTGCTCCGTATCAGTCGGAGAGGTTTCAGAGACTTGGGTGAGTCAGAAAATTCTGAATGAGTTTATTGTCTGAATCACAAGAGCTTTGGAGGAAAACAGTATTCACTCTGGGTTGGGTGTGATGTGGACATGCTGTAGGAGCAGCAGAGAGATCCTTGACTTGTGTAAATCTGTGACAAAGCTGGAGGTGCAGGTGAATTGCCTTGCCAGGTGACAGCACACGTTGTCTCAGTTATGAGGGAGTTTTAAACCCTACTGATGTTCTAACCTGAGGAGCAAAAACCCACCTGTGTGCTTGGATGTATCCTCTGCTCACATGTTATATTTTCCTTCCCAGTTATGTGTCTCTCTCAGACAATGAGAAGACTGATTTCAAAGCTCGAGAGTTGAAATCTGTGTACATGGATGCAGTTGGTCAATACCTGAAGCTGATTTTCCATCAAAATTATGCCAATAAATACAACTTGTATGGGCAGGTGAGTTAAAGGTCCTTACCTGGTGACCTCAGTGATACTTCCATAGTAAAGAGCAGGCACTGAAATCTGCTCCCTTGATTTTTAGAAGAAAAAAAATGAAAGCTCCTGTGTTTATTTTAGTTTGTTTTAAAGCTCAAAACACAAATAACAGGTTAGAAATGAGTTGTAACAAACCAGTCAAGGACACATTCTGTCACTCTTGGTTGTGCTGAGCCTTAGCCTGCACAGCAGGATTTCTGTTGAGGACAAGGGATTCCCTCTGAGAATGGCTTTAGGGTCACAGAGCCACTCTTTGAGTGTTTTGGACCTGGTGTGGCATTAAGTGAAGGTACTGCCATGTTACAGACACACAAATCCTGCCACACAAATCCTGCCTCAGTTCTGCAGGGACTCATTTTGGTTCCATCCCAGCCTGGGGAATGGAGCAGCAGGTCACTGCACAGCGGGGTTGTAGGTTTGGTGATACATTTTCAATGGAGCAGGAGGTGCATTTAGCACTCAGTGCTTTTCTCTGCTTCCATACCACCCTGCTGACCACAGGCCCTGTTTTTTATTCCAAGAAAAAAGGATGAGCTTACACCTTTCCATTTTCTGTGAATCTCTGCAGGTTGCCCTRGTAGCTGTGAACATCATTGGGGATCCAGCAGACTATGATGATGACAGCATAAGCAATGTAAGTGCAAAGCATCCCTGTCCTTTTGCTGTAGCTCCATTTCTTCAAGTACAGGTTCCTGGAGTAATGGGATGTACCTTTCATCTGCCAGTTCYGTGCTATAGCAGAGCTGCATTGCGTTAATTTATTTTTAGAGTTTTCTAAAAGCAAGAAAGTTGAGCCTAATATGGGAATACAAAACTTAAAATATAATCAGCTGGGGCATTTTCATTTTCAGCCTCTCCAGATTCTCTTGTTTCCATGTGCCCCAAAACATAAATGCTCTTCGTTGCAGAACTGATGTTAGTTGGGGAAAGTCAGAATTCTGTCTTGAACACACACCTGATGTTGGTAAATGTGCATGAAGATTTTTTTTTTCTCCTTTCYAAAGCCTTCCAGAGAGAAGCTGATAGATCACTACTTGGGAATTAAATCGGATGATCCTGCCTTAGATGGAACTTACCTYGGGTAAGGATGTTCTTTGCATATACCCTGGCAAGGCCTCTACTCAGTGTRAAGTAGTTGTTGATCTCTGTTTTGTTGATTCCCTGCTAGTGAAAAGAGAAGCCTGTCTCATTATGGATTATTTTATCAATTTTATGCCTTCAGGAAACGTGACTCTATTTCACCTCTGGACGATTTGGCCTTTGACATGTACCAGGACCCAGAAGTGGCTCAGATAATCCGGAGACTGGATGAGAAGAAGAGGGAAGCTGTACGTCACGAGTGCTACGACCACGCCAAGAAGCTCAAACAGGCCATTGCAGACTTGCAGAAGGTATTGTTGAAAGATCTTTGGCTCCTAAGTAGAGTAGTGCTCCAGTCACTCATCAAGGTCCTGCAGTTCATGAGGAATCATAATGATTTCTGATATACTTCCCAAATATTCACTGTAAAATCAGATAGTGTGATTGAGTAATTTGGCTGAAAGTAGTGAAACAAATACAGTAAGGTGATTCCAAGAAATGTAAAGGAAGGTGATTCCAAGAAATGTACTGGAAAGTGATTCCAAGAAATGTACAGTAAGATGATTCTGAGGTGATTTGTCCCAATTCTAGGTGGGGGAGAGACTCGGCCGGTACGAGGTGGAGAAGCGCTACGCAGTAGAGAAGGAGGATTATGACCTTGCCAAGAAAAAGAAGGAGCAAATGGATGAGTACAGGATGAAGGTKTACCAACAGCTGGAGCTCCACGACCTCCTGGATGCACAGCTGCTGGTGGGTGCTGTTACTCCAAGCTCAGGAGGGTGTTCTAAATACAAATAGCARAGCAACCAAACTTAATTCACAGCTTAATGGACATTGTGAGATTTACTAAAGATTTTCAGTTTTCTTTTTGGGCTGTGGGTTTCTCCAACCAAAGACTCTCATGTGATGTTTTATGGCCAGGCTTAGTTCTCCATAAATCATATTTAACTGTTGAGGTCTCAAGCAAATGACTAAAATCCTGAATGTTTTGCATAATTTTAAGGCTACCTGGTGCAGATGAATAAGGTACTTTCTCATATTTTGGAGGGGTAGAGGAGGCTTAGGCTGGTATCAAGGCCACCCATACAGAATCCATGTGATTTTTTTATATACATAGAWTTATGTAATGTTCTCRGAACAGGAAGTTTTATAATCTCTCMATACATGCACCCACACAGAATTATTTTCTGACTGTTTYATAAWGCCTCCTTCAGTRGGAATGATGACACACCTGTGAGCCAGGTTTAATATTTACTTGAAATCCCCAGAAGCCTGTTGACAGCCAGAGCTGTAGCTGTTCTGACTGATTTTAGCACATTTTGAGCCTTGCTGTAAAAATCTCCCTCCATTTCTCAGATCCGAAAACCAGTGGAGTTGCCTTTGGGATCTGTGAGTGGCACTGAGAGCCCCCAGAGCTCTGTTCCTGAGCCAACAAACCCACCCCAAGGAGAGCCCCGGAAGGCAGAGCTTCTGCTGGAAGAGCAATCAGTGGATTCCACTTCTGCTGAGTCTGTTGTTCCTCACAAGTCCCCTCTTTCTCCTCGGATTCAGCCCACAACCTCCAAGGAAGCATTTTCCAAGGAAAATGTGAGTAATCTTCCCTCTGTTACTGCAGAAATCTGTCAGAGCACACRATCTGGTGTCCAACCTTCCAGACAGGGGGGTTACTCTCATACTTAACTGGGGAGTGATGCTGCTTCGAGGTGAGAAAATTGCATTGACGTGAATCCAATAAATGATGAAATCATTAAATAATTTCCAGAACAACAAATTGTATCTCTTGTGCTAGGCTGAATTTTTACCTTATGACGAGAGGCCTCTCCCAGCCATCTGCAAGCAGGTGGATGAAGCTGTTGCCTACCTTGAGCCAGAGGTGACTGAAGAGGATGTGGGTGATGCTTCGAGGACTGGCAGTACTGGGGAGCCTGAACCACTCACGGAGAATGCACTGAGGGAGGCCAGCCCTGTTGTGGAAGTTTTTGGAGAGACTTTGGTAAAAATCAGTAAAACAAACCCAAACCCCAGTGAAACAARCCTGTGGATTGTTGTGCTCTGTGTTGAGTTGAGTTTGAGAGGATTTTTATGCGTTCACAGCTGCCATTTAGAGCTGAGTTTAAAGTTTGACTTTGACTCTAGGTGTGCATGTTTTCAGCAATTATACAAATCTGTAGCTTTGATGATTGATTACTTGATGTGCTGGTAAACAGGCAGGATGCAGCAGCCTGCTTTATGGTATGAACCCAGAATACCCATAACATGCCCCTGTTTTTTGCAGGGAGAGAAACCCTCACCCTGCCTGGAAGGGCTCCCTGAGCCTGACCTGTTAATCCCATTTCAGTCAGCGCATTTCAAAATAGGTGCTTTTAATAAAGCCAGGTTTCTGTGGGGAAACCTAGTTCACACCTCAGTTCTTCTGTTATTTTGAGGCTGGTTCTCTATGTAAATCTTGAATGTGTATCTGTAGGGATCCTTTAAGAGATGAATTTGTTCTGTGCTCAGGTTTCAGGAGCATATTCCAAAACTTGGTCGTATCGAGAGGATGCATTAGTGGCTGTGTACCAGAAGCTGATGGAAGTGCCAGTGGACACTCCAAAGGAGGATTTAAGGAACATGCTGAGGGCTGCTATTTTCCTGGTGAAGAGGGCTGCCAAAGACACTGTGTCTTCAGTAAGTTGGGATAAGTTTGATGCTCCAGTAAAGAACTAGCAGCCAAAATTGCAGATCCATGGGGTTTGGATACTTTGAACAAATAGTTTATCAATCTACTGTTGAGTAAGTCCAAAACCAGAACAAAACCCCTCTAAATTCCCAAAACATCTGGGCAATGCTTGGCATTGAACAGGTGGAGAATATTGCCCTGGGCTGAGCCATGAGCTTGAGGAATATCTGCTGATGCAGTAAATGTGCAGTGAGGTTGAACCTTTTTCTTCTTTGTTAAAGCTGAAACACAGCAGTGAAGTAACTTCTAGTTTCCACTCAAGGGACTTCACTTAGCTAAAGGACACTTGGGTATCAAAAAGCCTTAAATAAGAAGAAAATAAGAAAACTGAGTTGTTGCTATTCATAAAACAATTTCTGAAGCCTTTCACCTAAGTCCTGGCAACAGGTTTTTCTGGAAGAGAGTTGTCTGAAGTAGCTTCTGTTAAAGGTGTTACTGTAATTCCGGATTAAGAATAGATTTTACTATATTGTCTGAAAACAGGGGGTTCTGTGTTATTTTTGCTCAATGGTTTCCTTTTTCTTTCTRACTTAGGTTTTTCAGGCTTCCCTGAAACTTCTAAAAATGATCATTACCCACTACATACAAAAACACAAACTAGGGAAGCTGGAAACTTCTCATTGTGTGGAAAAAACTYTGCCACATTTGCTTTCTAGAACAGGAGACTCTTCATCCCGTCTTCGTATTCTGGCTTTGACCTTCATCCAGGTGGGTGTTCCCTTCTAATAGAGAATGGTGTGGTGTTTTTTTTGTCTGTTGTTACCCTTGTTGTAAGGGACAGTCTGGGGATAGCTGCTGCTGCTGCAGTTTGACTCTTACATTCTTGTGACCTACAGAAATGAGAAAACTCTGCTTTGCAGAGACAGGTGMTTGTCCTCATTCATCTTTTCCTGCTTCTGACTCTGTGTGTTTCTAGGAAATGGCACTGTGGCCTGAAGTGAAACATCTCCAGATCATTCCAGTCCATCTGGTTAAAACATTAAAACCAAACTCCCCAACACACCTGGCAATGAGTCACGTGGAATTGGTGGAATCTCTCTTGACAGCCATGGGGACTGAAAACTCTGGGTTTACCATTAACAATGTCATGAAGGTAAAAGGTTGAGGTTTTCAGCACATGGAGGTTTTTCTGATGGTTTTCTTGGAGATTGCCTGGCTGGAGTTTCAAAATTTCAAACTCCTAGTTTGGAGTTCTTGGAGAATTTCTGAGGAGATGTATCCAGTCAACAGTGCTGGTAAATTTAGACCAGGTTGGACAAGGCTTGCAGCAACCTGGTCTGGTAGGGAGTGTCCCTGCCCATGGTAGGGGGTGGAATGAAATGAGTTATAAGGTCCCTTTCAACCCWAACCAGTCTGGGATTCTATGAAGCAAGATATCAATATGGGAGAAAAAGAATCCATGGGTGAAAAAATGTTTGCAAAAACCTGTCTTCTAGGAAGATTCCTCCTGCTGCAGGAGAGTCTTGGACTAATAAACGAATCCTTAAAAATGCGAGAAAAGAGACATCATTTTTTATAAATATTTCCAGTTTGCCACAGGAGCCCTGGAGCACAGGGCTCACGAAGTACGTGAGGTGGTGCTGCGGATCATCTTTGCCATGTACCGGGAGCACAGGGCAGCTGTKCTGGAATATCTCCCTCCAGATGATGCCAGTGTCCGCAAAACCGTCCGCTACAAAACACTCTTCGATGGGTTTGCCAAAATTGATGGGAAATTCTCTGAAACAGACATGAGGGTATGTAATGAGAGGGTAGAGCATACAGGGCCACCTCAGACATGTGGCTGAGTAGGATCCTGATTCTGTGGTGGGGTTGGATGCTGTGTAGGTAGCAGAATGTATTCAGGTGTGTGGTTAATGTTCCTTAGAGTAGAAGGCTCAGTGTATTCCCTTGGGAATAAAGCCAACMAGGAATACAGAATGGARCTGCTGAAACAGTGCATAAGCAGTWTGGAAAATGCACAAATKCTMCTTTCTGCTGTCAGYCCTAGGGAACAGTAAACCCAAAGGYTGTGTTGTGTGCTCCTTTCAGAACAGAAGAATTTGGGAGGAGGGAGGTGTCACTATATCACACTCATCATTTAACCAAGCAGATTTCCTATCCTGCATCAGCTATGAGATTCTGTGCTGTTGTATTTTGCAATCTCTTGTAAATGAGGGATGATTCCCCCATAAACAGTATTTCTTGCCCGGCACAGAAAAAAACAGTGACAGAAGAAGCAGAGAAACAGACAAAGGAAGAAATAAAGGAAGCTCTAAAACGCCAGCTAGTAGCTTTAAAGGAGTTAMAAGCAGAGGTTGAAGTTGAAGAGGTGAGGATGTTTTGATTTTAAGATTTTTTTTATCCTTTGTTCCTCAAATATCATGGACTTAGATAATGGAACATTGGTGTTGTCTCATTGAAAAGAGAGAGAAACTCCAGACATATGCTGGGTGCCTTTCCTCTTCAGCAGTCCAACTTTAAATCTAGGGTGTTGTTTTTCCTAAGATAGTGTAAAATCTGGATTCTTTATTATAATATAAAATGACAATGTAATAGCACCTTCATAATATGAAAGAATACCTTAATAAAGAGATTTGCCCTAGAACCAGAAGCACAAACATTGTAGTGCATTGGCTCTGYTTCTAAATTTTAAATTCCAGACAGAAATCAGAATATAGTGTGTTCCCTTTCTCCCTGGAGGGCAAATTTCTGACTTCAATTTCTATGTTTAATAGGAGAAAGAATCTGATATTCTGAGGACAGAGAGCCAAGGTAGGTAATTTCAAGTAAGAGTTAAGAAACATAGATGAATTAAAATGTGATCTTGGTTTAATAGTTCTCTCCTTACAGGTTACCAGACGTACGAAGGCCCCCAGGCTGCAGCAGGGAAGGTCCAGGAGGAAGTTCTGTCTGTTACAAATTACCTGGATAAGTAAGTGAGATGAGCCTCTAATCACCTTAAGCACTTGGTGTCACCTGTGAGCTCATAACAGTAATAATGTTTTGCCAGAAGATCAAAGCTAATACCTTCAGCAGTGAAACAATAAAGACTGAAATCTCTTCTAACAGATTTGGAATTATCACCAGGCAATCCTACGTGCTTCTTTAAAAAAGTTCTTGGATAGTGTGACTTCGTGCTTTTTTGTCTGAGTATTTGCTTGTGGGATAAGAAATAGCCAGTTTAATGTTCAGCTGTCAGTGTGAATTAAGGGATAAACATAGTGTGGCTTTCCTGGGTATTGTAGGGGGAGGGTTTAGAGGAAGCCCTTGGAAATTCTGAATCCAGGAAAACTAGTTTTGGCAAGCTGCTCTCAGAACTTCTGTGGAATTAATCTTTTTAATACGAAAAAGCACTCTATAGTTTCATTTACCATAAGTTGTTCCTAGTATCTGCCCCATCCTCAGGTCAGCACTGCATAGGGAAAAGGAAGTCTTCAAGATATTGGCTGTTTTTCAGAAGAGCTTGGAACAGAAGGAGCAGGGCTTATCCATTTGTCACTGATGTCACTGATGTTTGTATTTTTTCCCAGCTTGTGTATTTTTTGTGGTGAAAGGAGCACGTCCTTCACAGAGGATGGGTTGGATCTGCATTACTGGAAGTACTGCCCCATGTTAACCCGATGTGAGCACTGCAAACAGGTCAGACTGAGCTTCACAGGGCTACTAAAGACATTGACTGTTGTTATTCTGATTTAGAGGCACTGTGAGATATTTAACACTCAGGCAGGTGAATTCTGAACACACCTGTGTGATTTGGGTAGTGCTCTTGAAAAAGAGCCTCATTAGAAAATGAATTAATAAATGGACTAAAATTGAATTTTACCTTTGTTGTTTTGGAAGGTGAGGCTAAACTGATGGGTTTTTAAATTCTATTCCTTTGGGCTCAGCACAAACCTTCCTGGCTGTGTTGCAGATGTTGGAGATTGCTGGCCTGACAGACCACCTGCTGTCTGACTGTGACAAAAGGGACAGCTTTGTGAAGTGCCCACGCTGCAGAGAGGCCGTGCCCAGGGACGAGCTGCCCAGACACACCAAGAGCAAGATTTGCAATCGTGAGTAGCTCTGGACAAGAAGGTGGAACATTGGGTTCAGGTTTTCAAACACCAGGGTTCTTTGGCAAGTCAGGCTGCTGGTGTTTCAGACTTAGGGATCTAAGTGAAAATGGTTTTAGGGATCTAAGTAAACCCTCAGGAGGGAATGGATTTGGGATAAATGCCTGAGTTTCCCAGTGTGTGAGGAGGATGAGTGGAAAGACTGGAAAGTATCTACCATAACCCTGTTGGAATTAAGCACTATCCCAACAGAAAGGACATGGATCTGCTGGAATGAGTCCGGAGGAGATGCCAGGTTGATCAGAGGGATGGGTCACCTCTCCTTATGGGGAAAGGCTGAGAGAAYTGGGATTGTTCAGCCTGGAGATGAAAAGGCTTTGGGGTACCCTAATTGTGGCCTTCCAGTGCCTAAAGGGACTACAAGAAAGGTGGAGAGAGAATGTTTACAAGGGCCTGGAGTGACAGGACAAGGGAGAACTGGATGATCTCTAAGGTCCCATCCAATCCAGGCCATTTTGGATTCTGTGATTCCTTTTGATCTTGTTTTGATGAAGATGATTAAACACAGGACTTCTTTGGGAGCTGTTAATGATAATGGGGCAGGAACTGTGTTAATCATGGGGTAGTTTTGTGCTATTTGCTATGCAAATTCTCTTCTTGTGTCTGAAGTTAGCCTCTCTTATGCTTATGTTATTTTTCAAATTATTTCAGCTGCCAAACCAGAAAATGTGGCCAACCATTGTCCTTTGTGCCATGAGAACTTTCCCCCTGGAGAGGAGGTGAGGCTGCCATCTGTGTTGGACTGATGTTGTTTTGGGTTTTTTAACGTGATTGACCTTTCAAGATATATTAAAATAGTGGAGGTATTAATTTCTATTTCACAGACGTACGAAGCAAAGTAAGGTGCTTATACTTTGAAAAGCAGATTAATGTGCTGTTGATATAAAGTCTGTACACAATTAYCATTTTCCCCATGTGACATTGGCTAATTTTGCTGGAGTTGTGCTATCACTTTTTTATAATTGACTTCAGGCCTGGAGACTTCACCTGATGGACAGAGATGGCTGTAAAATGAACCAACGGAGGACATCCCCCATGAATAAAACCATTYTGTTGCACCCTGGTAAGATACTAGTTAGTGATAATAACATTAATGCTTTTTACTGTGTTACYTTTGCTTAAGGAAAGTGTTTCATCACCAAGAGCTGTGCAAATCATGGGTTGCAKCTGTGTGAGCTGAATGATAGTTCTTGTGGTGGAGCAGTGTGCTTGGGGAGTAAATCCCTAAAATCGTGCAATAAAAATCATGGGGAAAACCAGCAGATTTGATAAATTAATCAGTTCAGGGTTTTTCTCTGCAGAACAGGATGACCATGAATAGAACAATCATCTGAACAGTGTTCTGGAAAGCTCCTGAACGCTGACACAGGGAACCAGAGCCTGATTTAGCTTTTAGTGTCCAATCACAGGGTGCTAATCTGATCCTAATTACAGGGTGAACTGAACAGTGAGTGCTGTGCACTGCTTTTCCTTTCCAGTCCAGATCCAGGAACTAGACAGAATTCATCATAGTGCAGCTTTTTCACCACTAAAGAGACATTGATGCTGATGTCAGGTGGTGKTTTTTTTTAACAGTTGTCTTTATGAAGCACATGGAAAATCCTTTTATTTCCAGAACTCAGAAGTTAAACTGCCTGCAGCACTAGAACTCTTGGCTAGTAACATCCAAACTTTTGCTCCTTCAAACTCTTCAGAATTCTTTAGTTGCTGCATGTTCAGAGTTCACTTTCTTTATTTGATCTGGGCTTTGCTCATATCTACATGTCACTATTCCAAGTTTGTGGGAATAACTGTGGAATTGCCCATTCCAGCTGAACTAAATGAATCATAGAGGTTAAACTCAGCAGTTTCCAGTCTTAACCTGGATCCACAGTTCTGTCCTCAGCTTTGCTGTTTGTACTTTCTGATGAGATGCCAGTCAATTGTCAGTTTGCTGCTGTTAAAATTTGGAAACAGAAGGAGTTTAAATCCTGCCTGGATAAGCTCTGATTCCAGAACTATCTCCTAGGGATAGGAAAGGAACCCTGACTGTTTAGTCTGACCACTGCTGGTGTGGAAGATGCTCAGGCTCAGTGCCTGCCAGCTTYTGGTTGCTTCAGTCATTCAGATTTAACAGATCTTGGGAATCAAAACAATGGATTAAATTCACTARATGTGCTTGTAATAACAATCTCTCTTTTCTCTCCACAGGCAGAGTAGGTGGACCMTATTTAAGGAGACCAGGTCCTTCAGTAGCAAAATATCAACCCACTTCAATAGGAGGAAGCAGGGTCCGAGCCCGAGGGAGCCCAAATAAAAGCAGTGGCAAAACATACTCAAAGCAATGACAGAACAAGCATTTCTTCCTTTGTCTTAATAACTGGGCACGTGGCTTTTCAGAGCTATTTAAAGATTGTGGGTAACTTGTATCACCTTTTCTGTGGCTGTTTTTAGCCTCCAGCAGTTCCTGGTGTGATCCCCAGGGCTGTCCCTTGGCATTGCTGTCACTGCAGCACTGGGCTTTACTTCTAGGAATGCTCATGTTGGAAATACCAAATGTTCTGGGACACAAACATTATTTTGACAGATAACTGTGCTCTCCTTTCCAATGCCATGTCTGTCATTTGATGGGTTCAAGCTCATTAATTATGTCAGGGGAGAGAGGTCTCTTCCCTGGGTCCCCCGAGGTGCTCAAGGAACAGGAACCACATGTGAGGGAAGCCTGGCCTTATGTGTATGTCASATTTAGGGTTCTAAAGGCAGCAGGGCTGTACCCAAAAAGCTATTAAATCCCAGGAATTAGCACCAGATGGAAAAGCCAAAGRGCTGGTTGAACATTTTCCTGTGTTGTGCCACTGTGTAGGAGGTGACAGGACATTGTTCCCTCTCTCAAGTGCCTTATGAGCTCACTTGGCAGGAGGGTTAAACTAAACCCTCCAAATTTGTATCCCCAAGAAATGGCCCCTTACAGAAATTAAAAAATGGTCTTGGTTGGGCCTTGAAGAGCTTAAATGAGTAAATTTAGACCTTTTTGCCTGCTTTAGTGCACTTTCAGCTCAAATTCTGGGCTTTTCTAGTTAGATCTTGATCAAAACAACAATCCAGAGACTGCAGAACATGTTTTTAACAGCTTCAGAGAGACAAAGTCTATTAAGACCTGAGGCATGAAGATTTGTACTGAAACAGCAATTTTCACATTTCTACCTGTAACATTCTGGCTGTTGCTTTCCAGGATGGAATTGGTACCATGGGCACGGGAATGAGTGGTCATAATAATATAAGGGGAAATTGGGGGGTTTTTGCTCCCATGGAGTGAATTTGTGGTATTGTTTTGTATATACARAGCTGATTTTATAATACAGTTTTTCTAGTTTGCTTGCAGCCTGCCTACCAGTTTCTGGATTTTCCAGGTAGATCACTGTGCTTGGATTTCAAAAATATTTGTATAAATTGTTTCTCTMACTCTTCCAAATACTTATCTCAATAATTACACACATTAGGAACATATATATAAATAATAAATATTAACAAATACATAGGTATTTTTATTTTCCCTTTACTGATATGGGTTTCTATTTGAGAGCCTGATTCTATATGCTGAATAAATAGTAAATATCTCAAAATAGCCACTGATCTTGCATAGAGATGTAAGGATGAAAATGACTTTGTGGTAGAATAAGGAAATAACTTAGAACTGATAAAATGGCAATTTTTGGGGTTTGAAAGGATGCTTTTGGAGCAGAGTAGTGCCACCAATGTCATGTTTAAAGGTGGGTCTTTAGTAAACAACCTGGGTTTGCTGCAGTGGGAAAATAACACCGTGGGGTCTGGTGTTGTTCCAACAAGTCTTTAGCAAAATATTCCAGAGAAAAACCATTGCACAGGGGCAGATATGGGCATGGAAAGAAGGTCTGCAAAGTGTTGGACTGGGACCTAGATTTGGCAACGATGGGAGCTCAGTATGAAACCAAGGGAAGTGTGTGGTCCTGAGCTCAGGGCTGGTTTCTGTGTGATCTCTGTCCATGTGAACTGTGCCTGAATGTCAGCTGAGGTGTTTTCATCTGTGTCACTGCAGAGATGATTCCAGAGCAGCCCTTGGCCCTGCATGCAGGAACTGAGCTCATCCCAAAAGACCTCTTGGTGTGTCACTACCCCAAGAGAGCAATTTATAGCGATTACATGTTCCTAAGTCTGGATGAGCGGATCAAATATTTATCAAAAGGAGTCACTTGTGTTAAATGTCRTATTTTTTATTGCACATAATTAATAAATTACTTTAGCCACTTTGGAGAGTACATCTGCATTTTCCAGCTGTTAGAATGGGAATTGGTACAGGAGGGAATGAGGCCGTGGCTCCTGCAGCACCTGAGACTACCTGTGTGTGCTGTATCTGTATAAGCCCTACCTGTGTGAGCTGTACCAGCGTGTGCTGGACTTGGATCTGTCTGTGCTGTACCTGAGTGTGCTGTACTGTACCTGTGTGAGTTATACCTGTGTGAGCTGTACCAGTGTGTGCTAGACTTGGATTTGTCTGTGCTGTACCTGAGTGAGCTGTACCTGTTCTGTACCTCTACCTGTGTGAGCTGTGTCTGTCCCTGTGTGTGCTGTACCTGTGTGAGCTGTACCAGTGTGTGCTGGATTTGGATCTGTCTGTGCTGTACCTGAGTGTGCTGTACCTCTTCTGTACCTCTACCTGTGTGAGCTGTGTCTGTCCCTGTGTGTGCTGTACCTGTGTGAGCTGTACTAGCGTGTGCTGGACTTGGAATCTCTCTGTGCTGTACCTGAGTGTGCTGTACTGTACCTGTGTGAGTTATACCTGTGTGTGCTGTACCTGTGTGAACTGTGGCTGTATGAGCTGTACCAATGTGTGCTGGACGTGGATCTGTCTGTGCTGTACCTATGTGAGCTGTACCTGTGTGAGCTGTACCTGTACCTGTGTGAGCCCTACTTGTGTGAGCTGTACCTGTGTGTGCTGGACTTGCATCTGTCTCTGCTGTACCTGAGTGTGCTCTACCTGTGTGAACTGTACCTGTGTGAGCTGTATCTGTGCGAGCTGTATCTGTGCGAGCTGTATCAGTGTGAGCTGTATCTGTGTGAGCTGTACCAACGTGAGCTGTACTAATGTGAGCTGTACCAATCTGAGCTGTACCTGTACCTGTGTGAGCTGCATTTGTGTGAGCTGTACCTGTACCTGTGCGGCACCGCTGGCAAGCCGCGCCGCTCAGCGCCGATGCGGTCCCGTGTTTTGCCCTTGT